CATTTTTTTAAAAAATGTACACCTGCCCCTGCATTGTGGAACAGAAAAAAACAGCCTTATTTCATCTTAATGACTTAGATATGGATTAAGTTAACTGCACTCTGGTCTTATTAAAACCAAACCACGTCAAGACATAAATCCAAATGACTTCTATGGGAGCTACGATGAACTAACAAAATGCAGATCCAACTGTAACAAATACATATGGCATAAGCTTTGTGTGGCATAGCCACTTCATCCCATGCATTTTTTGCTGCAATGGACCAATAAGGATATCCCTTCTGGAGATAAAAGCTCTTTATATGTCTAAAAAACCAACAGCCGCCATTTGGTAGTCTTACCATTTCAACTGTTAATCTGAAGGAGAAATTTCATTAGTCCTCATTATGAAACATAGGCTGCATGCTTATATCAGAATAAATTGATTAACTCTGGAGTAAGAATATATAAAATCACACTGTACAAGATCTGCTTACATCTGCCATATTTCTGGAGCTAGGATTTCCTATAATGGATCTGAAAACACATTCCAGCATTCATCTCACAAAATATAATAGTATCTTTTCTCAGAATCAAAAAGACTCATGCTAAACTGTGTTACTAAGATCAGAAGCAAAAAATTCAAAATATTAATTTCCCTGGGATTATTTAATTTCAGAGTACAGTCAGCCTTCTGTATCCACAGATTCTACAAATCCACAATTTGAAAATATCCTCCTCATCCCCCCAAAATCCCAAAAGCAAACCTTGATTTTGCCATTCTATATAAGGGACACCATTTTACTACACCAGTGTGTGTAATGAGACGTGAGGATCAATGGATTTTGGTATCCATGGGGGCTGCTGGAACCATATCTCAACAAATAGCAAGTGCCCACTGTAGAAGTAAGGCAATTTGGCATAGTGGTGGGGGGGGGGGAGGAGGAGGAATGCCTTCACATTTTCTAAAAAAAAAAAAACTTCTTTGCACACCAAAAATTACCAGGAAAGCTTTGAAGTGGTAGAACAGCCTTACATGTATTTGACAGCCACTTTGCATTCCTGTCTTAAATGATGAGCATAGCCATATTATTTTCCAAATCCTTTGTATATTCTTTTGGTATACAAAGGAAGAATGGGAAAGAACCTAGTAGCACCTTTAAGATGAACTAATTTATTTTAGAATGAACAGTTTTTCTATTCTGGAACTGGGTTACTTCCAGGCCTCCCAAAGAGTTTGTTTGGTGCCAAACACTATTGCCATTTCTGCTATAAGTTTTATTGGTGGTTAATAATGCAGCAGATGAAATATATCAGAGAAGCATTTCAGTCCTATCACTGAGGGGGTCTAGCATCTGGTCATAGCTAATGGCAAAACTGGGTCCCTAAACAACACACCCAGATTATTCCTTGCTGGCTAGATGGATCCCCTGGATTGGGGTACACTGCCCCAGGGCAAAGTTAATAGATTCCTAGGGGATGTATAGTGCAGAGACAAACAACGAAAATCAAAATGTGAAAGTATCCCCATCTCCACCCCCCACTGAAGCTATGAGTACTGTACAAGCCGATTAGCAACAGAGGAAAATTCACTCTCCTAGTCCATTTCCAGCCTTCATATTTTTTCCAACCTCAAATTACCAAGTTAATGGGAAAGTATCAAAGTCACACATACAAATTAGCCCCTTTGGACAACGATCAGTGCTTGGCCATGCAGTCATTCAGACATTGTTGTTTTTTAGTGCAACAACATGAATCATCTCACTCATGCATTCCAGGTTTGTTATTCACACTATGGAACGGCACCAATGTGTACATGTGCATCCAAGAAGAGGCCTCCATCCATCCACCATCAAGAGGGAGAGAAGGCAGGCCAGTTCCATCGGGCCTAGCCACAATAAGAAGAAGGGCCCTCCCTCCAGTCCATCTGCCTTGGTCCAGGCATTAGAGCAGGAGTAGGCAACCTTTTTTCAGTTGGGGCCGGTCCAACGAAGTCCCTCCCGCTGCTGGGCTGAGAGGAGGGATGGCAGCGTGCGCGCTCCTGCCCCGTGCACACTCCGTGCCCCACACACGCTCTCGCCGCCGCCGCGCAGCTGCCTCCGCACGTGCCGCTGCCACCATTTTGGAAATCATGCGCAACAAGTCACAGCCACCATTTTGATTTCCAAAATTTTCAAAATGGCGGTCACGACGTGTTTGCGCATGCACAGGAGTATAGCGCATGCGCAAACGCGTCACGACCGCCATTGGCGGTTGCAGCACGCGCGGCCGCATGGCGGCAAAAACGCTTGGCGGTGGCAGCGCAGGGCGGCGGCAACCTTCCGCCTGGGCCTTAACCGGCCCCTGGGCCATAGGTTGCCGGTCCCTGCATTAGAGGGACAGAAGATCTTCTGGATTTATTCCCCTTCCCCACCACCATTCCCTTCTCCTTTTGTGTCTTGTCTTTTCAAATTGTAAGCCTGAGGACAGGGAAATGTCTAATTAATCCATTTGTAAGCTGCTCTGATAGCCTTTTGGATGAAGAGCGGGATATAAATACTTCATAATAATAATAATGTGCAAGCATTCGAATAAAGATGGAGTTGGAAATGCGAATACATTTGGAACCCCCCCCCCTGTTTTTTTTTTTGTTTTTTTTTTTTGATCTGCAGCATTTTATCGCAGGTCTATTCAGGTCTCTTTGCATTGGTTATTCACACTACCAATGATGCAGATCTTTTAAAAAAAAATCAGGGAAAAACCTGATGTTGATTATCCTGGATTAAGTGGGTTTTTTGGCAGTCCACTCCAAACTGAATCCAGTGCATTCAGGATGTCTGTAAACAATGGATATTTAACCCAGGTTCATCCTGGATTATTTTCACAGTGTGAATAACTCTCATGATAGAAATAAGGAAGCCAAAACCTACCTGCTTGGTAGCAGAGGCTCAACTCACTGCACCAATGCATCTGAAGTGGATTCAAATCCATAAAAGCTGATGCTGAAATAAGTCAGTCTCCAAAATGTTTTTCTAACCATCTGATTCTATAACAATGAGATTGAATTCAAAGATACAGCCATGTTAGTCTGCAGCATCAGTATGCAGTGCGATTGAAAGTTGGGTTTAAAATCATGCTGCTTTTGACTCAAATCTGGTAATGGGCAGCTAATGAATATAATGACCAGATTGATAAGAGATAGCTCGTAGAGTCTGCAGTCTGAGTGGCATGTTGTTATTGTTGTTGTGTGACTTCAAGTTGTTTCAACTTATGGCGGACTTAAGGCAAACTATCATGGTGTTTTGTTGGCAAGATTTGTTCAGAGGAGGTTGGCCATTGCCAACTGATCTTGATTCCCCACTTGGCCATGAAACCCCACTGTATGCAGGAGCAATAAACAATATATTACAAAATAAATGCCAATGTCTCAACAAACAAACAAAACAGACTATATTGCCTGTTGCTCAGTCTCAGTATACTGAAATTCTCCATGAGCACCGACATTTACTAATATGACTCAAAAAATGGGGGAGGGGGAAAACAATATACATCTTGAGATCAGAATTACAAGGCTCTGGCAGGAGACCCCGGCAAGTAATTTCTTAAAAGAATAGTACATCACTTTGGGCAGATAAAGAGTGAACTAATACATTGCTGGGTCTGTGACTTAAAATGCTGGAACAAATCTAAATGTGTTTTGTTGTTGGTTTCGGGGAAATGGATATTATGGAGTACAAATATAAATCAAGCGTGCAGAAGAGAAAAAGAAAGTGAGAAAAATATGAAAAAAGTCTATCAAGTTTATTTTTGTAAAGTAAGTATTTTTATCTTAACATTTTGTAAGCCACTCTCTGGGTTCCATCCCAGGAGAAAGTCAGGTAATACATTGACTAAATAATAAATAAATGAATATTCAGTTGAGCCTTGTTTCAAAGTCATTGTGTGGCAATAAAGGAGATAATGAAAGCTATTTGTTAGAAGCTCAAGCATTATTATTGGAAGAGAAAGCTAATGAAGATTCTGCTAAAGTAGTAGGAGAGGGATGCATTAGCACTATTTAGTGCATTAGGTTTAATTGTTCTTTTATCTCAATACTAAATAGTTCAATACTAAATACTTCAATACTGAATTAATTTGTCTGTAACGCTGGTGCATGAGAAGAAATTTTTACAATTTCTTTCATTTTTGTAAAACAAATGTGAAAAAACTGAGCATCAAGTTAATATTAGTGTATAAAATAGAGAGCCAATGTGAGTAGTGGTCTGACTGTTGAACTGCAACTCTGAAGACCTGGGTTTAAAGCCCCACTCAGATTTAGTGGAAAGCAAAGGCAAAAATCCCTCTGAACAAATCTTGCAAACAAAACCCAGTGACAGGTTTGCCTTAGGACCAGCGTAAGCTGGAAACAACTTGAAGACACACAACAACAAACTAATGTGTTGTATTTGCAAAGGAGATCCACTATGAATTTTGTGGGCCTCCTTTATGCGGCCCTTGTGAAATAAAATTATTTATACCATTGAAAACAGCATAAAAATGAGCCTGAACTAAAAGTACATGACTCATTACTGTATAAAAATAACATTTTCGCAATGCAACAGATGTGCATTTTAAGGAGGTTTTAGCCATAATTGTTTAAGGGCTCAGACTAGGCTCCAGTAATGAAGTACAGCACTTACTCATTTACAGTCTGTCCTCAGAAGCTGGTCAGAGGCTGAAAATCCACACAAAGAGAAAAGACATTGCTTGCCAGTGAAGGACAGAAATAATCCGGTTTGACACTGCTTTAACTGCTATGGCTCAATGCTATGGAATTCTGGGAAGTGTAGTTTGTTGTGGCACCAAAGTGGAGCCTCCCACACAGATCTCAGAGCCCAGGCAAGCTTGCGTGGGAAAATAATATTAAAGATATAATTGAAATATTTGGTAATAGAAAAGCCCACAGAGCACTGTTAAATGTGTTGTGGGCACACAGACTGATGATGAGTCATAATATGTTTTCATTTCTTTTCTATTAACAATTCTAATTAAGTAGTCTGAGAGCCAGCGTAGCGTAGTGGTTTGAGTGTTGGACTACAACGCTGGAGACCAGGGTCTGAATCCCAGCTCAGCCATGGAAACTTACTGGGTGACCTTGGGCAAGTCACACTCTCTCACCTCAGTGGAAGGCAAAGGCAAAACCCCATCTGAACAAATCTTGCCAAGGAAACCCCACAGTTCCTTTAGAGTTGCTTTAATAGCTTAAGGCAGGGGCCGGCAACCTACGGCCCCCGGGCCAGTTCCAGGCCAGGTTGCCAGACTTATCGGCCCAGGCGGACCCCTGCCGCCGCTGCCGCACGTTTTCTCCAAAATGGCGGCCGCAACTCGTTTGCGCATGCGCAGTACTCCTGCACATACGCAAATGTGTTGCAGCTGCCATTTTGGAATTCAAAATGGTGGCCGCGACATGCACGGTGGCGGCTGCGGCCGTACGCGCCGCAGTGGCGGTGGCAGTGGTGGCAGTAGCGGCAGCATGTGGAGGGGTCGCGCGTGGCGGCGGGGGCTGCACGCACGCACATGAGCACACACGCCGCCATTCCCCCCCCTCAGCCCAGCGGAGACGAGGACTTCGGGGGACCAGCCCAGGACCGAAAAAGGTTGCCTACCCCTGGCTTAAGGTCTCTGTGAGTTGGAAACGAAGGCACACAACAACAAAATTAAGTCATTTAGTAATGTAACAGTACTAAACATGGTAAGCTTATTTATTTTCACTTGACTTTGTAAATAGTTTTATTTTTAATAAGCATATTAACTATCCTGGTCTGATCAATGTTTTTCATTCATTTTCAGTCTTTTTTACCCTAAAATGAAACATAACTCACATAAAAACGTCTTTAAAGAAAGTAGCAACGAGCAACTTCAGCAGGCCGAGGAAGCAATTTCTGGCCCTTAGACTCTTCAGAACCATACAGACAGCCAAAAATACCCCAAAATGAAATAAACATGTAAATATGTAGAAGCAGTCCACTTCTGATTTTGAAAAGAATGGCTTTTTTAAAAAATGTTAACCAGTGCTGGACGGAGTGCTTCAACCTATTCAAAAGATGAATTATCCACCTTTTGTGGATGGGAGACCACCAAGGAATACTAGGTGCTGCAGTATATATTTCCGGGGTAAGAACTGGCAAAAACCACTTCTGGGTATTCTTTGCCTAAGAAAACCTTATCAAATTCATGGGGTCATAAGTCGACAGGTGACCTGAAGGTATATACAGACACTATGTCAAAAAAGGAGTAGTATGGGAGCGTCTAGGTATGGATAAGGGGCTGGAGATTTGGGGCTAGGGAGCTGAATATGGTTCTGTCAGGGTGGTAGTGTGATCCTATGTAGGACTGTTCAGAATTTCAGTTATTTCAACAGGGTTTATTGCTATGTAAGGTGTGTGAGCAGTTCGAAAGCATGCAAATGCAAGTAGATGAATAGGTATCACTTCGGTGGGAAGGTAAACAGCATTCTGTTCAATCTTGTTGGCTACATGATCACAGAGTAGTCTCTAACAACGCTGGCTCTGACTAAGCAGCCAAAATGAGCACCACCCCTTATGGTCGGACATGACTTGACAACCTTGTCAATGGGGAATACCTTTACGTTTACCTACCTTTAAGGCATGTGCAGCCAAAGAGTGTGTAAGGCATCACCTGAAGGATATTATGAAAGTGTGACATAACTTTCCGTAAACAGGTACACTTTAGATGTATTGGGATTACAATTCCGATGATGATGTTATTCAGGCAGTGAAAATAATCTGGGTTGAATCTTTGTTGTTTAGATGCATTTTGAATGCATTCAATTAAGTTGGGGGGGGGCTGCCAAAAACCCCCACTTAACACAGTTTAATTGATATCGAGTTTTTTCCTGTGTTATTTTTTTAAAGATTTGTATCATTGGCAGTGTGAATAACCAATGTGAATAGACCCAGGATAAATCAGGATAAAACTCTGCATGCCTTGAGCGTGTTTCAAATACATTCACATCATTGACTCCATGTTCAATTAAGTGCTGGCATGAGTGAGCATCCAAATTCACAGAGATGTGGTTTCAGAGTGTGAATAACAAACCTGGAGTGCGTGAGTGAGATTATTTGCATAGTTGTGCTTTAAAAAATCCCAAAGTCTGAATGACCTTAATGACAACAACAATGACTATTCCTAGCTTGCATTCTAGGGATCAAAGGAATTGTAGTTCAATTCCATATGGCACACACAGGGTTGGAGAAGGCTGAAACAGGGCTGAATGTGAGCTACAAGTCTGGAAGGCTTTTTAATTTCACCTCAGGTCTGAAAGCAGTGATCTGCCTGGGCCAAAGTGTATCTTTCTGAACCTTTGTGCCTCACTTGCAATACAGAGATCATACTGACTTGTAAATTGTTATTGGAGAAATTATTACAGCATGTGTACACAAAGTGCCTTTCAGAGTCAAAAAAAACAGACTATATAAATACTAGATTTTATACTGTAAATCAATGCCAAGTATTATTTTTGGATTACTCAGTTGCACTTTGGTGGCCACACACAGAATAATTGAGAAGACCTCTAGCCATTCTTTCAACACTTGCTTCTGGATAAAAGTGAGCATCCTAACCTGTAACATAGTTGTTCCAGAGTAATTAGGCCGGGATGGACAAAATGCACAACCAGCCTTTCTTACTGACAAATTGTTTCTGTAGAGATAACTTTGCATTCATCAGCCTTCTTTGAATTCCCAGTCCCCATCTCCCCACCACCACCAAGTCTTGCCTACTTATAACAACAATGCCTATGAATAATCTCTATTTGGGAAGAAAAACAGGGATAAATATTTGGAAAGGAGAATCCATTTTTGTACTTGGAGGGTGGGATGGTACTGATGTGAATGGTGCCACTGCCTTCTGTTTCCAACAGAGGCTGGAAAGCTTTTTGAACCACAAACCAACATCTTCTAGCCAATAAGACCAGTGGCAATATAGTCCCAAAAAGTAAATTTATCCAAGTCATTGTTTTCAGCAGCATCAGACTTGGCTTTCCATACCACTATGCTTCTCTGTGTTGGGGATAAAATATTCTTATTGTTATGCACCTTCGAGTGGACTCCAACTTGTGGAGTCTGTATCATAGGACTCATTCAGAGGAGGTTTCCTATCACCTTCCTCTGAGGTTGAGAGAGTGTGACTTGTCCAAGATGACCCAATTGATCTCCATGGCTGAGCAAGGATTTGGAACTCTCCAGGAGTCCTTATCCAACACTCAAATCACTACACCCCCTGATGAATTTTAATAGAACTAGAGGAATAGAAGTACCATGCCACACTGTCATACATACACACTCCAACAAGTATTTAGTTTGCCTAATGTAAAATCAACCCTTAATTACACTTCAGGTGAATATTCACTGCTGGGGATTCTTTAATTCCATGCCCATCCCTGGTCCTCAATTTCCTGATCACAGTTGCTCCCTCCTAACTTTGCCCTCAAAGATGCTTTAGCTATAGATAGCTGCATTAGAAGGGGGTAGACTGGATGATCCTTGGCATTCATTTCAGCTCTATGATTCTAAGAAAGCTTGTTTTCTGCTGCTCCAGAGAATAGGAACTGAAGCAATGGATTCAAACTACAGGAAAAGAGATTGCACCTCAACATTAGGAAGATCTTCCAGACAGTAAGAACTATTTGACAGTGTAACACACTACCTTGGAGTGTGGTGGAATCGCCTCTTTGGAGGTTTTTAAACAGAGGCTGAATGGCCATCTGTCAGGGATACTTTGATTCTGTGTTCCTGCATGGCAGGGGGTTGGACTGGATGGCCCTTGTGGTCTCTTCCAGCACTATGATTCTATGATTTTTTCACACTACACAACTATAGTGCTATAATTCCACTTTAACTGCCATAGCTCTATCCTAGGGAATCCTGGGTTCTGTAGTTTCATGGGGTATTTAGAATCTTTGCCAGAGAGCTCTAGTGCCTCACCGAACCAGAAATCCCAGGATTCCACAGGATGCAGCCAAGTGGTATCAAGCAACTACAACTGTATTGTGGGAAGGAGAGCAGTATCAGAAGAAGACAATGAGAAGGGCATCTATGAACAAAATAAAAAAAGAACCTAAAGTGCAAAGATATACAACTGAACACTAAACTTAGAATCATCCAAACCATTTTATTCCCCTTCATCATGTGCAGATGTGAGAGCTGGGCAGTGAAGAAAAGTGGATAAGAAGAAAATCAACTCATTTGAGATGTGGTGCTGGAGAAGGATGCTGAGTATACAATGGACAAACAGATGGATCCTAGAACAAACTGAGCCAGAACTCTCCCTGGAAGCCAAGATGATGAAACTGAGGCTGTTGTACTTTGGCCATATCATGAGAAGGCTCAACTCATTAGAAAAGAGAACAATGCTACAAAGGGTAGAAGGCAGTAGAAAGAGAGGAAGGCTGCATGCCAGAAGGATGCCCACTATTAGGGAGATCACAGGTATGAATTTGCAGGACCTAAGCAGAGCAGTGGAGGACAAGGAGTCTTGGAGATGTCTCATCCACATGAGTCAAATTCGAGGGTGGTTAACAGCAACACAAATCTGAGAAGAGGCTGAATGTGAAGCATTGGCAACAACACTTAGCACAGTGGGAGGAGGAATGGTGAGTGGCAACACAAAGGCTGCATCTCCACTGCAGCATTAGTGCAGTTTGACACCACTTAAACTGCTATGGCTCCATCCTATGGGATTCTGGGATCTGTAGTTTTGTGAGATATTACACCGCCTCCCTCAGAGGCCTCTGGTATCACAACAAAACTACAAATTTCAGGATACTGTCATGGAGCCATGACAGTTAAAAGTGGTGTCAAACTGCATTGATCCTACAATGTGGTAGAAAACTAATCCTGCAATCCAACACAGGTCTACTCAGAAGGAAGCTCTACTGGGTTCAATGGCATCCCCCAAACAAGTGTAGGCAAGAGAACTGCTGCCTAGAAATCTGTTTGTTGCCTCTGCTACTGGCAAAGTTTGGTTCTTGTGCATCTTGGTGCTGATTTATGGCATCCCTAAGGTTCAATTGCTAGCTCTGCCATGAAACCCACTGGGTGACCTTGGGCATGTC